TTTTCTTTCCTATTATATTCTGAATGAATCTGTATTCCCTGAACATGTAGCAGCTATATGGACAGAAGAATGAGCCAGGGTGGGCCTGGTGGGAAGGAAAACACAAGCAGAAATTGGTTATAGGTAACTCACAAAGTAGGATAACCCTAAGAGGCTGGTGGAGCTGACTTTCCTCTTCCTAGACAGTTTCCACATTGCTGCCAAAATGACAGCTGCCACAGAACACCTGACATCAGGTGCAGCAGCTCAAATTAGCCTGACTCAGGCAACTCCAAAAAACTTCCACCAAGTCCCATTAGAAGGGCACACCAGGTGACAGATAATATGGATAAAAATGCTACAATCAGCCTTCAAAGAGCTTATCATTGGTTCACCCAATGACCTCACCCTGGCCTTCCAAATGACCCCCAGCTCTGGCCTCCATCATAAGATCTCCAAATTTCCTCCCATCTGCAAGCACCACAACTGGCTTTCTCAGTAATGGCTGAAAATGGAAATGCCCTCATTGTACTTCATCAAAAATACAAGCAAGCAAACCACAAAAGGGTTATAAATTAAAAATTCAACAGAAAATGCTTCGATTCATTTATTCTTTCATTCACTGAGCTAGTCTTCACTGAATGATTACAGTATACCAGGCATCTTGCTAGGTGCTGGGGACTCCCAGCAAGGAACAAGATGGACATGTTTTCTCTCCCCTGGGCCTTAGAGTTTACCCTTAAAAGAGGACGGAGTCCGTAAAGGAAAGGCTCTGCGTTGCAACGTAAAACGATTCCAACCCTGTTAGTTCCGTGATGCAAAAACAGAAAAGAGCACCTTCAGAGATAGATGTAAGAAGTGAACTTTGCAGTAACTTAGTCATTAAGCAACTGGATTCTGATAAGAACGGTTCAGGAGGGCAGGACGGAGGAAACGTCTTCAGACTTTCCAATGGAATATTCTTGGAATAGAAAGTTGCTCTTTCTATAATAAAAAATCAAACATTAAAAAAAAAAAAAAAAAGGTAGCAGCAGCACCTTGCTCTGGGCCCATTTCCCAAGCCCAGTAAAAAGTGACACTTCTGGGGTCTTTGCAGCTTCAGATGTCGCCAGGGAAAGGCGGACGTCTTAGTCTGCTTTTCCAGGCAAATATACAAGTAGCCTTCTGCCATAAACAAATGAAAAAAAAATAAAAGCCAGAAATAAAAGCCTGGTGACAGGATGCCAGAAACCTTCAAAAGGGGACCTTCAGAATAAGTTCAGGTTAACTCTCAGCATCTCTGAACATAATAAGCACTATCAAGTCTACATTCACTATTTTATAGCAAGGACAGCGTTGATGCCAATTATTTTTTGCCCTAGTCAAGAGAGCTTGTCATCCTTCTCAGAACAATTATCTATAGGTGCATAATGGTGAAAAGCTAAATTCTTCCCCCAATTCAGTATGGGAAAAGTGCTGCTCACAGCAATTTGACATCATTCCATTAGATGAGATTAATTTTTAAACGTGTTATTCTAACAATTATGCCAAGTACCAGGTAATTAATATTCCAACTGACTTTACAAAAATTACAAAATCCCCTAAAGAAAATAATTAGTCATTAGGCATGAACGAGACTTTTCTATAGCCAACAGCACATAAAACAGAAAGTTCATCTCATAATGGGTGGGTATCAAAGCCTTTCTCATATGTCCTTCAATTCTTAGCCAATAGTGCATACAGCTGACATTGGCAAGTTACCCCAAACTTCACTTAACATATTAACGCACTTACTGGTTTAAACTCTTTGAGGGTAAAATGATGAACGATGAAAGCTTTAGCAATTAAAAAGCTCTTTTCATTTGTAGGAAAGGCAAGATAAACGTATATAATTAATTGTTTGCTCTTCCATGTCCCCAGCTGGAAATTAGAGTACTGGCTTATTTCTTGAGGCTACTTCTTGTGTTTATTAAAGAAATGTATATAGGCATCCTCATCCTTGTTTTCCCTCTTTTCTTTCAGGGTTTTGTGTATTCTTATAATCTATTTTAAATCCCTTGTAGAAAAAGGTAAGGTATAAATAAGTAATAGTCGCACAGGACGTCATATGCTATAACAGAAATAAAAAACATGTTTTCCTTGCCACCCTCTTCTGAATAATTGGCAGTCACTGCCTAGTGCCAGAACTGAGAGTTGCAAGGATTCTAAGCCAATATACACACAGCCTCAGCAGGAAAGAATGCAATGGTTGATTAGTGATGTCTGCCCTAGAAAGAGCAATAGGTTAAGAATCCAGGTACCATGTATTTGCCATCTCCACCCTTTGATAAATCACTAAAAATTAGAAAAATACATACAGATTCACGAATAAAATATAATGTGAATTGTTTCCAGGATGCAAGTAAACGGGGAAAAAAATGTTTTCTACAGTTGAAAACCTTAAGCAAAACCGGACTAAAACCTCAACTTTTGAGGAAAGAACATTGAACCAGGTCAGGAAACCCAAATTCTGGTCTAGCTTGGGGAGCTGTAAACAGGTCAGTTCACTGGGCCTCAGTTTGCTCACCTCTAAAATAAGGGGCTGAGTCTCTTAACTGTTCTCTCGTGCTGGTGAAAGAACATAGTTCCTTTACAGGAACCGAACCTCAGCAGGCCGGGGACATGTCTGCAGCCTCGACACCCCCTCACATTGCTCATAGGAGATTTATAATCTGGGATAAATGCATACAGATATTTTTAACCTGTAGCATTCCAGCACAAGAAGTTCCACATACATAATACATAACATTTCTTTTCCTTAATACAACCTATTTTCCACTGTGGGGCAAGGGTAGGGGTTGACGTAGGAACTTCTTTTTTTTTTTTTTTTTTGAGATGGAGTCTCGCTCTGTCGCCCAGGCTGGAGTGCAGTGGTGTGATCTCGGCTCACTGCAAGCTCCGCCTCCCGGTTCACACCATTCTCCTGCCTCAGCCTCCTGAGTAGCTGGGACTACAGGTGCCCGCCACCACGTCTGGCTAATTTTTTTTATATTTTTAGTAGAGACAGGGTTTCACCGTGGTCTCGATCTCCTGACCTGATGATCTGCCCGTCTTGGCCTCCCAAAGTGCTGGGATTACAGGCATGAGTCACCGCGCCCAGCCGAAGTAGGAACTTCTAATAGCGGAACAATTCAGTGATTAAACTACCTTCATTCAAAAATTCAGTGTCATCACTTCAACGTAAGACTAGTCATTTCCATGAAGTGTCCCACTCACTCATGGTTTTGAGATCAGCCTGAATCTTCCCACCACTGAACAGTCCTTGTCACTGTACCCTATTTCGAGAACTTGACCCACAGGATACATCAACATGGCTTCCTTTTCCAAACACCTATCTGTGTAGAGCTGGAACAGTCCCACGTCTGGCCTAAAAAAACTGCAACAGACATCTGTGATTTCTTTATCTGCCCTGCATCCATCCCTTCTGGGAACTCCCTCTGTCCCAACTCCAAGGAGCCCCATTTCCTGTGTTTCAGGTGCTCTGAGCTGAGGATCCCACCCATGGATGCAATGAACCATCTCAGAGGGCACCTATCAAGTTTGGGCCAGAATCCTTTTTCAGAGCCTGACATGGACACTGGGAGGTCACCAGGTATGAGAACTATGTATACCCACAACTGCTGAGCCATGTTTTTTACCCCTTGGAGAGCATCAGGCCAAGAAAGGAAAGCAGTCCTAGATAGGGCAGGAGAGTGACGTTTCTGCCACACCACCCAAGCACCCTGATGCTCCTGAGCTCAGTCACAGACAAGTAACTCCCTGAACATTTTAGTTCCTTGAACCACTGAAGGGCCCCCATGCCTTTTTTTTTTTTTTTTTTTTTTTTTTTTTTTGGCTAAATCTAGACCCAGTTGGGTTTCTGTCACTGGCAGCCCAGAGTTTTGGGGAAAGGCCTTCTAGGCTACATGTATGTATTCAAGGTTCAAGTTCTTTCTTTAGTAACCCATGATAAATCACCTTCCTAAATCACAAATGAAGCTCCCAGGGTTCCCCTTCAAACCAAAGAATACTAAAACACCCTCAAAGAGAAATTCAAAGAAAAAATTCTGCACACCAGGAAAACTCTCAAGGTTTATCTCTTATCTAAGACCTAACGGGAAAAAAACCACCGAAAAGAAGAAAATGCCAATGGATTACTGGAGGGGGCACCACCCTGCATACAGTTAAACAACTAACAATTCTAACAACAATTATTCAAAGAGGCAGCACAGTATAATAAAAAAGCTTCCAAAATCATTCCTAAAGTATATATATATTCTAGTTCCCTATCAACATAAAAAGCCCGTACACACATGCACGCCACAACACATAGCACCCAAACAAAAGGAACTTGTTCGTAAACAAACGAACCGTTTCCAGATTCATGAGCCTAACTGTTTCTGTTATTTTTCAACTACAGTTTAGTTTTCCACTTACAGCTGTCCTAGGGTCTCTGCCACAGGCCTGCCTGCTGAAAGAAATCATGAATATCAAACTCTACAGAGCATGTTAAGAAAAATCTCCCTTAGGTGGCATCTAAGTAATTAGAGAGTCATCTAACAAACGGTATTGTAGTGATGCTCATCCATCTGTGACAGAGGAAAAGACAATACAAGAACATAATGTTTGCAGCTAAACATTTAGACACCTCCTGGGGGCCACAGATTCCTCTGTGAACCTGATGAAAGCTACGAAGCCTTCCCCAGATACACATGCACATACCACAACATGCTGCATATAATTTTAAGGGGTTCATAAGAGTTGCTCCCTATACCCGGTCTCCAGGTTAAATACACCTGAGTTAGAATTTTTAATATGTAATCACCTGAGCATCATGAATCCCCAAAGACTTCAAAGGACTACAAAACAGATTACAGAAAAATTCTACAACTTCCAACTCTATAACCCCATGCTGAATCAAGAACATAGCAAGCAATCCAAACTTACTCTTGCTTTCTGCATTTATGGAATATAAGAAAACTTGGCTTTCCATCTATTAGCTCCATTTATTACATCTCCCTTACCTTGTTTGACCATTTATATGCTTGAAGGAGTTGACTATAGAGAGGAGTTTTGTCCTGCACAGGATCCAGGCTTAACAGCCCACTGTTATGAAGAGGATGGTTCTCAGATGGCTTGCCTACCAGATTGCTCAGACGTTCCAGCTCACTGAAAAGCAAAGAGATAAGGCAAATAAACCTAAGCCCACTTACACTCCAAGGTAAAGCCAACCCCCAGGATCAAAGACTGCTCTTCAAACCATCCATCAGAAGTCCCTTAAGAAGAAACACTTTTTGAAAGGTTAAAAAATATTTGGGACACTTAAAAAAAACAAAAACAAACAAACAAACAAAACCCTAAATGAGAGCTTATCTGACTTTAAAACAGAGCTTCCTGGTGCCATTCCAAAGGAGGAAAAAAACGTAGGGGCACTAGAATCAATAAGACTCCCACAATCAGAATTGAACAACTCAAATTCATCTCTGCAGTGGGGACGAGACTTTTTGGAATTTTGAAATGTGGCATAACACGGCCTCTCACTAAGAGTTTTCAGACCCACGTGCAGATCATTACACTTGGCAGAACAGCAAGTACCTGAATAAATGATTATTTCTCATTCACATAGGGATAGATTTGTACGTGATGCTTCACAGATGGCAAAACTTAACAAAACAAAGAAGAGATAAAATAAACAAATGGAATGGGAAGACACTACGGAGGGGGCTGTGTCAAACACACTTCAGTCTAGCAGGAAAACCCTCGAGAAGCTTGGGAAAGCGAGCCAACAAGAGCACATTCCAGGAGTACGTTCTGAGGGGCCAGTCCCAAACTGCCAACAAAAGACTCTCTAGGAACAGCTTCTTATGCCACATTCATTTTGGAATCATCAGCCACCTTCTTCTTGGCACTACTGTACAAAGATTTAAGACGGCACAGGGATAATGTCAGCACTCTTAAAGTTTCTATTTAAAATGGTGAAGGGTTATAATATCCTGAACATTACAAAGGAAAGTAACTCGGAGAGAAAACGGAAAGAAAATAGAAGATAGGGAAGAAGAGCCAGTGCATCCCCTGAAGCAGGGAAAGTATTAACTGGTGCTCGGCGCTGTGCCAGAGAATAGCAAGCGGATGTGGGCGTTGAGAAGGGGTGTGTGATTTATGGCAACTACTTAGGGGGAAAACAAAAAGGCACCCATCATTTGGCCACCTCCTCCACCTCCTCCTCCATCCTACCTCCTCTTTCCATCTGGTTACTAAGGAGACCAAGTTGAAAAAACAAAAATTCAACCAGACCAGAAATCAAAGGATGACTAGCTCACCAAATGCTTTCCCCTACTCAGGTCAGTTCTGAGAAGTAAAAGGCAAAAATCCTGAAATTCTAACCTTCCTGGGAAGGGCTGACTCTCTTATAAAAGAGAAGGCAAGTTCAGGACCTAAGCAATCAAGAAATGCCGACTATGTGCCAGGCCCTTTACAAACATCCTCTCATTTAATTCTTACACCACTTGTAAAGTATAAGTGAAGAAGGTGCTTTGTAAGAAAGACTAGGAAAAGTGGAATCCTTAACCCTAAAAGACTACAAATTAAGAAGCAGGGGCGTTAAGCATAAGTAAGTAAACTGGTTAGGAGCTTGAAAATTAGGTCTCTACTGCGGAAGGAACTGAACAGGAGCAGTGAGAGTGGGAGTGAGGAAACTGATCAGGTGGTTTGGGAGAGGGTAGGGGAAAGGGAGAAGACAGCTCAAGGCCTGGCCTGTTTCGTCGTGGTTGCCGGTGGGTGGTGGTGGAACTGATGAAGTCCAAGTTCAGGGCCAGGGAATTGGGGCTAATCAGATTGGGTGCACTTGGGTTTGGAGCGGACTGATCAGGTCCTGTCTGTACTATCACTACATTCGGATCAGACGTGATGGGGCACAGAGGGCCTACAGGTGAGAAACCTGCCAACCTCAGAGAAGCGGAACTTCATAGGAAGAGCATGCCTCCTTGTCAGGAATGGAACCGCCACAGAAGAGGTCGAGGATGGCGGGAGACAAACAGGACCAGGAGGCCAGGAGAAGCGAGACGAGAAAGCAGGCACGGTGATAAGGTGTCCCTGAGAGGTAGGCAGAGGCTTGGAGACCACGAAGAGAAAGAACGGGGATCAAAGGAAATGGAGAACAGCCCCTGCCTGGGAAGACTCGAGCGACGTAGGCGCAGGGTCGGAGCGGGGCCGGTCCCCGACCCCGGCCCCTTCAGCCGGTACCTACTTGAGGTCCCGGTTGACCGAATGTAAGTTGTCCTGGAAGTGCGCAATGAAGGCCTTCTCCCGGCCCTCCAGCGTCTCCTTGTTCCGCATCCCATCCTTCAGGCAGTCGAACACCCTGCTCACGCTGGAGCGCAGCGCCTGGATGGCACTAATGGCCTGGGAAAAGGCCTCCAGGTTCACACTGACATTTATCACGTCCGCCATGTTGCCGCCGCCACAGCAGCTCTCCAAAGCCGGCTTCGCCAGCAAAAAGCCGCGCTCGCTGATGACGTAACTCCGAAGACCTCTGGGAAATGCAGTTCGCGCGGGGCTGCCCAGAAAGCACTTTCGAAAAAGGGTTTCCCCTTGAGCTAAACTAATGCGTGGGCAGGAAAATGATTTTTCTCAACTTGGGGAAGTCAGGTTGCACTCTCAGTTTGTTTAATGGTAACAAAGAAATACAGAAAGTTCCCGCATTTCCCCAAACTTGCATTCTGGGGAATCATAGGGAAAAGAATTGCTCAGAGCAATAGTGTAAAAAGGAAAGGAGCGTAGCCCATTCAATAAAATGGGTCCATATTCATAAATAAAGGGGGGAGAAGGGAAGTTTCTTCTTTCTAGTAGAATGCCAACTCATCAACGCAGAAAGAGTGACGGAATTAGAAAATTGCCATTTGACAACCATTAGAATAATTGATTCAGATAGAAATCGATGGATGCTAACACTAGTGGGTGAAAGTGTCAGAAAAATAACAGGTTTTTCAGGTAATCTCAAAGTATTGTCCCCCAAGATGCTTATTAATTAAGAAGAGGAAAATAATGATCCAGAGGTTCCACTTCTGGGCGCATACCCAAAAGAAGTGAAAGCAGGGACTCAATACTTGTACACATGTTCATAACAGCATTATTCACCAAATAGCCAAAAGGCAGGGGCAACCCAAGTGTCCATAAACTGATGAATAAGCAAAGTGTGATACTGGCATACAATGAAATATTCTTCAGGCTTAAGCAAGAAAATTCTGACATATGCTATCTGGAGGAAACTTGAAGACATTATGCTAAGTGAAATGTCAGTCACAAAAAGACAAAATTCTGCTTAGAGTAGTCAAAATGTTAGAGACAGAAAGTAGAATGGTGGCTGGTTTACAGTGAAGCACACACCTCCGAAAATAACATACATAGCACAGAGGTTGTGGAAGAAAGAGAAGGTTTGGGATTTAAACAAAACCATTTTGGCCAAATCTGGCTTTATGAAAAAATTCAATGTCTCTTTGTCCTGTTGGCTATAGACAGGTTTCTGAAAATTTATTATCTTTTTACCAAAGGGAACCTGCCCAAGTCCTCATGTTCTTTCCTTAGAGGAGCTGGGGTTGCATAGCTTGGAGCAGAGAAGAGTAGAGCAGGAGGTAGGTCATGATTGTCACCTTCAACTCACCTTCATGTCAACCCAAGACAAGAGTCGTCCTTGGTTAACTAGTGGCAATAACAAGAACCAGTTGTAGGAAAGGTGTAGAGAGGAAGATTTCAGCATAATATTGCAAACGGCCACCTTTAAGTCTGTACTTAAAGAGTACAGACTTGGAAAAGTTTTACAGCTGGATGGTGGTGATGGCTGTTCAACAATGTGATTGTACTTAATGCCACAGAACTGGACACTTAAAAACAGTGAAAATGGTTGATTTTATGTCATGCATATTTTACCAAAAATTTTAAACAATTCATTAATGTAAAAATAAGGGGGGATGGATAGTGACTTAAGAGTGACTTCACAGTGGAGAAATATGGCAGACACAAGCTTAACCAAAAGGCAAAGGTCAACATCACCAGTGATGGGACAAGTTGTGCACCTCCTGGTACAATGCACTGGAAAGAGCACAACATGACCTCCGTGATATTCTTGCCAGCAGTGCATAACCTGAATCTAATCAGGACATCAGTAGAGCTCAAACTGAAAAACATGACAAAAGTAACTGACTGATCTGTACTTTTTCAAGAAATATCTGTGTCAGGCCAGACACAGTGGCTCACGCTTGTAATCCCAGCACTTTGGGAGGCCAAGGTGGGTGGATCATTTGAAGTCAGGAGTTCGAGACCAGCCTGGCCAACATGGTGAAACCCCATCTCTACTAAAAATACAAAAAATTAGCTGGGCTTGGTGGTGGGCGCCTGTAATCCCAACTACTCGGGAGGCTAAGGCAGGAAAATTGCTTGAACCTAGGAGGTGGAGATTTCAGTGAGCTAAGATTGTTGCGTCATTGCACTCCAGCCTGGGTAATAAGAGCGAGACTCAGTCTCAACCAAAAAAAAAAAAAAAAAAAAATTTATATATATATATGTATATATCTGTGTCCTGAAAGACAAAGAAGGCTGAGAAATTCTTCCGGATTAGGCCGCGCACGGTGGCTCACGCCTGTAATCCCAGCACTTTGGGAGGCCGAGACGGGCGGATCACGAGGTCAGGAGATCGAGACCATCCTGGCTAACACGGTGAAACACCGTCTCTACTAAAAATATAAAAAATTAGCCGGGCGCGGTGGCGGGCGCCTGTAGTCCCAGCTACTCGTGAGCCTGAGGCAGAAGAATGGCGTGAACCTGGGAGGCGGAGCTTGCCGTGAGCCGAGATAGTGCCACTGCAGTCCGGCCTGGGCGAAAGAGCGAGACTTCCATCTCAAAAAAAAAAAAAAAGAAAGAAAGAAATTCTTCCGGATTAAAAGACACCAAAGAGATGTGACAGCTGAGAGCAATGTGTGAGCTAGGATTTTCTTTTGCTGATACGATCGGGACAATTGGTGAAATACGAGTAAGATCTGTAGATGAGTTAATAGTATTTTTATCAATCATTGCATTGGTCTGTTCTTAAACTGCTATAAAGAAATACCTGAGACTAGGCAATTTATAAAGAAAACAGGTTTAACTGACTCATGGTTCTGCAGGTTGTACAGGTACCATGGCTGGAGAGGCCCCAGGATGCTTTCAATTATGGCTGAAGGTGACGGGGAACAGGCGCATCTTACATTAGTAGGAGTGAACAAGGAGGAAGTGCCACACAGTTTTAAACAACCAGATCTCGTGAGAACTAAACAACCAGGTCTCGTGAGAACTCACTCACTATCGCTAGAACAGCAAGGGGGAAATCTGCCGCCATGATCCATCTGCCTCCATGATCCAATTACCTCCTATCAGGCCCCTCCTCCAACACTGGGGACTACAATTTGACATGAGATTTGGGTGGGACACAGAGCTAAACCATATCATTGATAATTTCATGATTTTGTTCATTGTATTGTGGTTACGGAAGAGGATATCTTTGTTTTAGGGGAAATATACTCTGAAGAGAAAAAAGAGCATCATTATGTCTACATGAAAAAGAAAATAAAATGAATATGTTTATTTAGAGAGAGAAGGAAAAAGCAGATGTGGTAAAATGTCAACAGACACAGAATCTGGGTAAAAGGTATACAGGAATACTTTGTATTATTCTTGCAAGTATGGTATGTCAAAATAAGTTGCTTTAAATGGCCATCCAGGCCGGGAGCAGTGGCTCACACCTGTAATCCCAGCACTTTTGGAGGCTGAGGCAGGAGGATCACCTGAAGTTGGGAGTTTGAGACCAGCCTGACCAACATGGAGAAACCCCATCTCTACTAGAAATACAAAATTCGCCAGGTGTGGTGGTGCATGCCTGTAATCCCAGCTGCTCGGAAGGCTGAGACAGGAGAATCGCTTGAATCCTGGAGGCAGAGGTTGCTGTGAGCCGAGATCATGCCGTTGCACTCCAACCTGGGCAACAACAGTGAAACTCCGTCTCAAAAAAAAAAAAAAAAAGCCATCGTTAAGATGCAGGGAAAGTCTAAACCACCATCTAGATGGTAAGAAAAATCTTCGGTTCAGCCAGGCTGTGCTGACAAGGATTTTGAAATTGGGTAGTTCACCTCAATTCCACCTCCTTAATAACTCCCCACTTCCTGGCCAAGTACGGTGGCTCACGCTTGTAATCCCAGCACTTTGGGAGGCTAAGGAGAGCGGATCACTTGAGGTCAGGAGTTCGAGGCCAGCCTGGCCAGCATGGTGAAACCCTGTCTTTACTAAAACATACAAAACTTAGCCGGGCGTGCACAAAACTTAGTCAGATGTGGTGGCATGTGCCTGTAATCCCAGCTACTCGGAAGGCTGAGGCAGGAGAATCGCTTGAACCCAGGAGATGGAGGTTGCAGTGAGCCGAGATTGTGCCATTGCACTCCAGTCTGGGCAACAGAGCGAGACTCTGTCTCAAAAAAATTCACCACTTCCTCCTAACCTGACCTCACCACCTCAGTTCAATTCCTGTAGTTCTGGAAACACAAAGATGAATTCTGCTAAGAAACTGGACCCTGACAAACCAACTATTAAACACTATTTAAATTAATTAATTGTCTCATGCAAGAAAGCTGTTTTGTCTTGAGATTGTATAGTTGCTTCTATTTCCTGACATCTAGCTCACCTTTACGGTGTGGTCATTTATAGCTTTTCTTAACGGAAAGGATGAAGATAGCAGGAAACTTCTAGCTGTGAAGTTTAACAAGTTATTGAACCTCCCTGAATCTGTTCCCTTGTCTGTAAAACAGGACTGGTAATAATACATATCTTCATAAAATAGCTGTGAGGTTTAATAACACCTTGCAGGTAAAGCTTTTGAAATAATGCTTGGTAAATAACAAATACTCAGAAAAGCATAGCTGTTAGGAGAAGATGTCTGTGACTTATGCTTCTCATCCCACTGAGAATTCTTTACATAGACTCAAGCAAAGATTAGCAATGGGATTATTAGTTCGAATTATCTCTAATGACATGACCTTGTTGCTAATAGCTTGTCAATGAATTCTATCCCATAATTCACTGTATTCGGTGGGGTTTTTTTCTTTTTCTTTTTCTTTTTTTTTTTTTTTTTTGAGATGAGTCTCGCTCTGTCGCCCAGGCTGGAGTACAGTGGCGCGATCTCAGCTCACTGCAACCTCCGCCTCCCAGGTTCAATCAGTTCTTCTGCTCAGCCTCCCAAGTAGCTGGGATTACAGAGGCATGCCACCATGCCGGGCTAGTTTTTGTATTTTTAGAGAAATGGGATTTCACCATGTTGGCCAGGCTTGTCTCGAACTACCAGCCCCAGGTGATCTGCTCGCCTCTGCCTCCCAAAGTGGTGGGATTACAGTCGTGAGCCACCGCCCCTGGCCTTGGTGGCCTTTTTATTGCCTTTGGAATGTAGGGGTAAAGCTTTTTTCTAAGGTT